GACAGAATATGTGAAACAACAGGTCTTAAGACATTGTAAACCAGTCAATGAAGGAATGTGATCGCTGAAATCGGGGAAACTTATGAGGTGATCTTTCTCATTGCCCCCAGCTTACTGCCTGTAGAAAGTTTCTAGGTAGCAGTTCAGGGAGGGAAAACTCAGGTACAGTCTGGAAGTCTCCATGAGGTGAATAGACAGAGTTGACTGTAGGGAGACCAAGGAAACTAGAGTTTGTAGGGAAGAATACCAAAGAAGAGAGAGCTTCACAGAGGGAAAATTCTAAAATCTGCAAAGCACTCCCTTTGAGTACTCAACTGAGAGCTTATCAGCTCATGGCTGCGAGGAAACACTTGAGGATGGAGAAAGACTCACCCAAAAGTATTAGAGGGAATAATCCTTGGAGCTCACATAGTGCTGGAAATAGTATGGTCCCACCAACCAGGGTGAAAAACATCAACAATAACAAGGCATTAGGTAGAGTACTCAGAAGAATTTTGCCTCAGGAGGTGCAAAAAGTTAATCCTAGACTAAATTCTGCCCTGGTCCTGTATAAAAAAGCTTGAAAACAAGATCCAAAAGGATCAAACTATTTCCCAGTAACTGAACTGTGCCTCAAAACAAAGCTCAAAAGTACTTAGAAGAATACAAAAACATTCAACATCCAACATGGTAAAACTCACAATGTCTGGCATCTAATAAAAAATTACCAGGTATGCAAAGAAGCTGGAAAATACCAACCATAAAGGGAAAAAATTATTTGAAATTGATTCAGAATTAACACAGATAATATAATTGATAGCCCACAATATTAATATAGACATTATACCAGTGTTCCATATGTTCAAAAATCTAAAAGAAAGATTGAATATGTTAAATAGGAACATGGAAAATATTTTTAAAAGGATCCAAATCAAGCTTCTAGGGAAAGTCTAGAAGATGAAAAAATGTCTGAGATGAAAAATACACCAAACAGAATTAATGGCATATTAGACATTGCATGCAGAAGAAAAGGTTATTGAACTTGAAGACATAGCAAGAGAAACAACCTGATAACAAACACAGAGAAAAATTTTAAAGCACAGAGCATTAGTAAGTTGTGGAACAAAGTCAAGTGGCCTAATATGCTTATAATTGGAGTACCTGAGGAGAGGAAGGAATATAGAAAATATATTGGAAGAAATAATGGCTGAAAAATTTCCAAATTTGATGAAAACTGTCAATCCATAGATCCAAGGAGCTCTCAACAAACCTCAAGCACAAGAAATTTTTTTAATTACTGAAAATCACCATAATTAAGTTGCTTAAACCAGTAGTAAAGAAAAAATCTTAAAAGCAGTCAGAGAAAAATGACACACTAAGTACAGAGGAACAAAAATAAGAATGACAGCAGATTTATCATTGGAAACGATGCAAGATAGAAGACAATGAAGCAAAATATTTAAATTACTGAAAGACAAAACTACCAACCTAGGTCTCTACCCAGCAAAACTATCTTTCAAAAACAGGAGTGAAATGAAGACTTTTTTCATGATTTCATATTTTCAAAATCTGAATGACTTCATCAGCAGCAGACCTACACTATAAGAAACGTTAAAGAAATTCCTTTGAACTGAAGGAAAATGAGGCAAGATGGAAATCTAGATTCACACAAAGGAATAAAAACCACCAGAAATGGTAACTGCATATGTAAGTGTAAAGAAATCTTTTTCATATTATGTAAACCTCTTTAAAAGATAATATCAACATATTATGGGATTTATATAGAAGTAAAACGTATCTCAACAATAGCACAAAGTCTTGAAAAGGAGAAATGGAAGAATACTGTTGTAAATACTTTATACAATACAGGAAATAGTATAATATCACTTGAAGGTAGACTGTGATAAGGTCAAAGATATATACTGTAAACCCTAGAGCTACCACTAAAATAACAAAACCAAGAGTTATAACTAATAAACCAGTAAAGGAGATGAAATCTAATCATTAAAAAATGCACAATTAAGGGGCCAGCCTGGTGGCACGGCAGTTAAGTTCGCATGCTTCCCTTCAGTGGTGGCCCAGGATTCACCAGTTCGGATCTGGGCATGGACCTATGCACCGCTTATCAAGCCATGCTGAGGTGTCCCACATAGAGCAACTAGATGGATGTACAACTATGACATAAAACTATCTACTGGGGCTTTGGAGAGATAAAAAGGGAACAAAGAGGATTGGCAACAGATGTTAGCTCAGGGCAAATCTTCCTCAAAAAAAAATGCACAATTAAGTCAAAAGGATGCAGAAAAAGAGGAAAAAAGGAAACAAAGAATATAGATGAGAAAATAGAAAAAATTTGCAATAGGGTAGATTAAAACCCAAAGATAACAATAATCCCACTAAAAATAAATGGTTTAGAAAGTGGGTGAAGGAAACAGGGGATCCTTCTGTACTACTCTCTACTACCTTTGCAACTTCCTATGAATCTCTAAGTATTTCAAAATAAAACATTTAAAATGAAATAAACACCTCAATTAAAGGGCAGAAATTGTCAAGTTGGATTAAAAAGCAACTGAATGAAAATAAAAATGCAACACATCCATTGTCTTCCTGTATTGAATATTTCTCTGGAGAAATCAGAAGCTGGCATGATCCTTCACACAGATAGTTAGATTTTTCTGCTTGGATTGTTTAGAATTCTTTCAATCTGAGGATTTATTTTAGGAAAAATTTCCTATATTATATCTTAGAATTTTTTCCTGTGCCATTTATTTAGTTCTGTACTTCATATCCATTCTTAGTGGATCATTTTACTCCAGATATATCTTCTTTATAATTACCTTAATATTTGTCTTATTTCTCTCCGTTTATGTGACTATCTTAAGGCTTCCTATATGGCACAAATTGACTTTTCAATTTCTTGTTGTTTCTAACTTACTTTTCCTCTGTAATGTTTCACAATCCGTTTCCTTAGCAATACCCCTATTCAACTCTTTTCGCTGCTTTATCATTTTGTCTTTCAACTCTTGTTTTATTGAATTTATGGACTTCTCAAATTCTTCTATAGCATGAGACACTTGTGGGAGTTTACTTTTGTCCCTGGAGTTATACTTCCTTTCAGGGTAGGCTCTTCATCTGGCTCATAGCATGTTTCTTTTTCACATTTTTCCCTATAGTCTTTGTGTCTGGTTATCGTGCCACTTATCTTTCTAACGCTTAATAAGAGCAGCTCAGTATAGTCTTTCCATGTACTTTAAGATGGTACGAAAGGACTCTCTTTGACAACTTTCTTTTATAAAGTAGAACTTGTTTGTCTTCCTCTCCAGTGTATAGGTAGAGGTCTGGGTGGAATCTTTCATGTACTTTTCTGTAGCCTGATCTGATCTTGTGTTATATGAGGCCCTCACTGTTAGCCTGGCTTGTACTCTTGATAGTTGCCTATGAGATTCCATTAACTCCACTATACCAAGGGGCTCTTCCCTATTCCTGTGTGCTTTTCCTCCTTCATTGTAGTCACATGAAACCCTAAAAAACACTTCCTATCCCTATAGAGAGTCCTCAAGGACAGTCAGGGACTTCTACTCTTGAGGGTCTCCTTGTGTTTCCCTGGGCCACCTACTCAATGCCTCAGCTGCCACTCTTGAAATTGGTCATATTAATGAGAATTCTGGTTTTCTTTCTTTCATGTACCCTCTTTATTCAGTACTGCTTTGGGCAGGTGAGATAGTAGCTATGACTTTATATTAATCTTTTTTATTCTATTTTTTATGTCAATATACAGCTATCAGATGTTTATGGCATGAGGTTGAGCTCCATTCTTTGCTTCTCTCTAGCTGGTAAACTTTTGGCTGTAGTTTTACTAATTTTGCTTATTCTTTTAGGTGTTGGTAAAGGGAGAGTCTATGATCTGAATTTTTTCAGCTCTTTATTGAGAATTGCCAATTTTTATATTAATCATTTTATTTTAAATATCTCTCTCTATACTATCCTAGAGTAAGTGATTTGCAATATATTTCAAGTTAGTTATAAATCATTTCACAATAGATTAATTCCATGCTTTCGCATGGGCATGTCTTAAAATTTTAGAAGTTCTAATATTGTAACCAGCTGCCAAAAATAATCAATTCTAGCTTCAAGTTCATACTCCTTACAATGAGATTTAAATTTCTCTATTCTTAGGAAATAGTAGAGTCTTTCTGTATTCAATAGAGAATTAACTCTCTGAATTTTTTAGTTTCTGTCCCTCAAAAAAGAGAGATTTGTTTGGCTTGAAATATTGGGAGAATTTCTGAGAGACCTATGGCACACAAGCAGTTTGCACTTCTGCAGCAATAGCCTTTGAGAGACTCCTTGAAATCCTGAAGACTCAGCAGAACAAAGATACTGGATTTACTTTATCATTTCATTGCTTATTAAATTAAACAAAAAATAAAATGTAACCTTTGAGTCCAGTAATTCATCCTCTTGAAGACCCTTTCATTTTAAAATTAATGAATAAAACACAATATGTCTCCCTGGGGAACTGTGGCCATCTTACCTTTGTGTAGTAACCTAAGATTCTCCACAGGAACACTATTAAAGCAGAGCTAAAGAGCTGAGATGCCAAATAACCAAAAGGCACACACAAAGTATTTTAAAACATAGTGATCAAAAATACTAATGCCATTAAAAGAAAGAACATGGAAAATAATGAAGTAATGTAATGTGGTCTTCCAAAAAATTATAACTTGCACCTTCTGATCTTACATTTTGAAACATATCACAACCACTCTTGGCCCATAAAAGGCCAGAAACGCTACCCTTCTCCATCCTTCATACTCTCCCAGGACATCGCACTCAAGCATTTTTGCACCACAGCTGTGTTAAACTAATGAAAATATCTGAGTCTGCCTGGCACTCTTGGCTCAAAGATCTTCTCGTGAATTCTTCCCTCACGGAGGCTTCCCTGACTGCCCTGAATAACCCCTCCCTCTACCTACCTACCTACCTACTCATGCACGTGCGCGCGCGCGCGCGCGCACACACACACACGCACAATCTCTGCAACTCAGCGCCTCTAATTAGTACTATGATGTCTCATTACTATCTAAAATTCCTTCTATCTGTTTACTTGTCTGTGATCTGCCTCTGCTCCAAAGAAGGAATCTTGTCTGTCTCGTTTGCTATCCCCAACCCCCAGCACCTAGAAGAGTATGTGGCTCACAATGAGTGCTCATTAAACGTTTGATGATTAAATGTTTAGATCCAATAGTTTCACAGTTAACTAGAGATGAGAGCTACCTAATTGTTTCTTAGACCGGGATCTTCTTGTCAGATAGAAACTTTCAGAATATACAGATGTTTCTTTGCCCTGGAAGCTAGACAGAGCAGAAGATTGTGGGAAACAGCTGGCTCAGCTGCCACTGGATTGACGCCAAACACGATGTTTCTTTCCAGGCCCGAAAATCGACGGACACTGTCTAACACGATGTGATTGCCCTCCATATCTGTCGCGTCCTTGATCCGTACTAACAGATCATTTCCCTCATCGAGCTGAGACATTCTTCTCCTCCTCATTGCTCTTAGAAGCTTCTCTTTATATATTTCCACTTCACTTGCTTTGCTGAAAAGCACAGCAATATCCTTGGGGGAATAAGCATTCCTCAAGAGAAACTGGCACCTCTCTGCTAGCTGGACCACCATCTCCTCCAAGTCCGAGCACCTCAGAATCTCGAAGCTACCTGGAACGCCCTGAGCCCATTTAGCTTCATGGACCATCTCCAGGCATGCAGGGGGGGAGGTTAGGTGGAGGATTTTCTGTGACCTCCTGCATTACTTTTTGTAGGTAGTTGGCTATTGGATCTGCATTGCGGACCACTCTGGTGAGCTCTTCTTTTGGATCCTGGTCTAAGAAATGGGGGAGGCCGTTGCAACTCAAGTGGCTGGTCTGAAAGTAGTCCAGAAAGATCCAGAGAATTCCTCGGTTACCGTTTTCTCTCCGAGTGATGGTTCTTGCCTTCTCATACCAGTCCCCATCTTCAGTGCGGAAATTCTGAGCTTCATCGATGATGATGTGTTGAGTCCTTTCAAAGTTATTTTTCATGAAGGTTTTCCGGGTCACTGCCTGGCAGATATTTTTCTTGCTGAAAATGTAAGAAATATAGTCAAGTTTCCCCAATCAAACAAAGGAAGCTAATTCTACTCTTAAACTCATCTGAAAATAGTAAATATAATATGACTCTTAGCATGTAAACTTAAAGCCACATCAGTCAGAGTTACTCAAGAAAAGAAAGTGAATATACTTAGGCTGCATACCTCACAAACTTCATCAGGGGCTGGTTCTCACAGACGTAGAGAATGTCACCTGGTTGACAGCAAAACACATTCCTGATCTTCTCCATGATCCTAAGAGCCAGGATGGTCTTCCCTGATCCAGGTAAGCCGTGAACAAACAGCTCTCTGGTCTTGCGAAGGTTCTTTGAAAGCAACTCATACTGTTTATCTGTGAGTAGGTTCAAAACCTCAGAGCCCAGCTCTTCACTTAAGAAAGATCTGAACCCAAGCAGGACTATCACAAGGGACTGTAACAGAGCTTCCATGTGCTGGGTGGTCGTAAGGTTGTAGGACTCGGGGTAAATTTGCAAATCAGAACCATGAAGGGCGTTTGCGGTTCTATCAGGATTCAACAGGAAGACCAAGGGAGTGATGCACAGTTTCCCAGTGTAGCCACCTGTGTTCACCAGCTTCAGCTTTAAGGAACAGGCGACTCGCAGAGAATAGTCCTTCCAGCCCTCATCGCACTCACTGAGGATGGTGTAGAGGAGCGGGATGTTGTTCTGGGAAAGTAGAAGAGCATCGCAGATTACTCCCTGCTTCTCTGGCAGACCCAAGTCCACAGCCCAGCTTCGAGAAAAAATCAAGATTCCTCGAGAGACAGAGCGCATTTCTCTATTGATTAAGTCTCTGAGTCCTTTATGTTGTGAGATCAATTCTTTGTAGAGGCTGTCTGGAGTATACACCACTCTGTCTGAAAATACTAGACAGGGAAAGAATTGGAATAAATAATCACCACCACGTGTAAAAGATTCAATTGACATTTAGACCCTACTGTGTGTCAGCCCTAGGTTATGCATTAGTAACAAAAAGATAAAACAATTCCCAGTCCAATGGAGCTGATAATTGATTGGCATAAACAGAGACAAACAATAATTATGACACAAAGTGATAAATGCAATGGGAAGGAAGTGCACAAGGCATTATGTGAACACCAAGGAGACGTACAGCTTAAGAAAGAAGAAAATGTGAGTCTTATGAAGGAGATTCTTAAAGGATCTTGAGCTGTTTCTTAAAGGATCGCTGTGAGTTAGCCAGTAGAAGGACGGGAGAACAGAGAGCGAGGCAAAACAGGATTCATGAGTAAAGCACAAGAGACAAGCAACAGCAAGCTCCATTCAGGCAACTCCAAGCAGTGTGTGTTGCTGACACCTAAAGTGAGAGGGAAAGAGGTGGCGATGATGGTGGGGAGGAAGGCACTATAGTGCCATCGTAACACCTGGCAATGCTGACTATAGTTAACAATACTGTAGTATACACTTGAAAGTTGCTGAGAGGGGTCTTAAATGTTCTCACCACACGTACCCACACAAATGATGATTATGTGAAGTGATGGATACGTTAATGTTAATTAACCTTATCACGGTCACCATTTCACAATATATACATGTATGAAATCATCGTACTATACACCTTACACATGATGTTACATGTCCATTATATCTCCATAAAACCAGAAAAAAAAAAACACCTGGCAAAGGTTATATACTATATGATTTCACCTACCTGACATTCTGTGAAAGGCAAAACTATAGGGATGGAGAAGAGATCAACGGCTTTTAGGGGTTGGCATTGAAGGAGAGTTTGACTACAAAGGGGGAGCATGAAGGAGTCTCTTTTGGGTGTTGGAATTATTGTCTATCTTGACTGTGGTGGTGGTTACATGAATCTCTACATATTTGAAATCGCTTAGAACAGTATAACAAAAAAATTCCATTTTACAGACGTAAATTTAAAAAATTAATTTTTAAAAGTGCTTTTTGAAACGAGTTTTGGCTTTTTCTATGTGTATACAAAAGGTTCTTAAACCTTTTGAGGTGACAAGCCCAAATCTGGAATCTAACCAAAACTATGAGCCCTCTCCCCAGAAAAACTCAAATACACATAAAATTTGAATTTCTAAGTGAGGGTGGGGGAAGAGACAAAGATGAATCTAGGTTTCTGTGCTTGGCTGGATGGAGAATGGACTCTCCAATCGATAGAGATAATGTAGAAGAAACAGCAGAAAAAGAATACTTGATACAGAATAATATGCAGACTATATAGAAGAAATAGATGATTGTCAGAGTAGGAGATTGATTTTGGAAATGCTCAGTTTGCAATATCTGTGGTACATGAGGCTGTTCAGCAAGCAATTGGACACACCAGTAAAGTTTGTCCGGGCTCAGAGAAATACTAGCTTTATTTTCCATAAAAGTGGACTAAACTAAGGACACCTCCTACTGCTATTTTGATTTAACATCATTCTGGAATTATTGGCCAATGAACTGAAACAAGTAAAAGAAATAAAACGTATAAAAATAGGAACAGTTAGTTCAAAATTACCTTTCCTTTTGCATTAATAAGATTATTAAGTAAAATGTTTGGAAATAGTATAATGTACATTTTAAAACTAAGAGCTTTCCTACATGCCAGCAATTCACAATCAGAAATTATCATCATATAAAGATCCCATGCTAGGAATAAAATTTAATATTTTGAGTAATAATGTGGATAAAACTTTGAAACAATTGAGAGATATACCATATTTCACTGATTATAAATGTACTTGAATATCTCTAAAATCAAGATACCTCGTATAATTTAATTGGCCATATTTTCTTTTTCAGTGGTAAATAAATAATAGTGCAATATTGTTTTCTTAAGTTTGATGAAATATGGTAAAAGAAGACTTGAATAAATGGCCAAATATTTCACATTCAATTATGAAAAAAATTCACTGTTGTAAAAATGACAGCTCTTTCCACATTAATTTATCATTTTCACTTAAATGCCATAAAAATAATCTCATATTGTCCTTTGCTTTTTGGTGGAACAAAATGTTTCTAAGCTTCTTCTAGAAGAGAAATGCCATGATAATACCATTTGAGGAAACTGTATTCTGGTATATGTTTTGAATTACAAATTGGCAATACACCTAAATTTACAAGCTATTGTTACTACTTGGGATTTATCCTTAAGGAACACCTCAAGGTATTTGTAGAAAAATGTATATTGTAGCCCTGTTTAAAATAGAAAAAATTAGGGCCGGCCCCGTGGCTTAGCAGTTAAGTGCGCGCACTCGGCTACTGGCGGCCCGGGGTTCGGATCCCAGGCGCGCACCGACGCACCGCTTCTCCGGCCATGCTGAGGCCGCGTACCACATACAGCAACTAGAAGGATATGCAACTATGA